CTCCGTCGGAATTCCATAGCAGGCCCCCCTATAATACATTCAAAAGGAGTTCGAATAGGAAGGTCTTCCAATAGGAATGCCTCCCCCAGGTGACGTGTGAAATACACGAAAACAGTGTGTGTATATATAAATACATCATACAGCTATACTGAATGCCCAAACCAAAGCGATCTTTTTTGGGATTCTTAAACATCCCGAATGGGTTCCTACTGGATTCCTGTTAAGCTCCTTCCGTTTATCTGTTGAGTGAAACTTTTCTTATTTCCCACGAAGCCTTCATGTTGGAATTTCTCTGGAACCCGATTCAATGCTTAAGGAATTCCAATTGAATCCCAAGGACGCCTTCCTATTGGACCTCTCATTTAGATTGGAAGTCCTGTCCTGCTCAGCCCTGGTAAGCCTTGGTAAGCCCTGGCCAAGCCCAGCTACGTCCTGGTAGGCCCTAATAAAGCAAACCTTGCTAAGCCTTGCCGCCTCTTGAGTTTCAATGGGGCCCCATATGTGACGCGAAGAAAAATCAGGTTGGAGTCGAATAGGAAACCGATGGGAAGCCAATCTCCAAATCTGTTTTATTGGAAAACGATACGGCCCCCAACGTAAACGAGCTGGAGCCCAATTTAACTCCAACAGGAGGCCTTCTCAACGGTATCCAATAGGAAGCAGTCCCATTGGAACCCAATAACAAACAAATGGGGGTTAATCGGAGCTTTGCTGGAACCCACTTGGGGATCCGACTGGAACCCAGTAGCCGAGAAGGGTCTTTAATAACCCCCCGGGCAGTAATGGGAAACAAAAATAATTAGTCCGCGGGCTTATTGACGGATTGGGACCCCCAAAATAATGGGAAATTCGTTATTCTCGGCGGCGGAAGCCTGAGAGGCCAAGAGAACTGATCAAAAATCTCAACGTTCAACGCCAGGCGGCCTCCTCCTCCTCCTCCCCCCCTCCTCCTCCCCTGCACGCCGCCACCGCAACTGCTGCACACGTGCGAACATGCATCGGCGGCGAAGACGGCGACGACCACGAAGACGACGAGGACGAAGACGACGACGACGACGAAGACGACTTGAGGAGTCGATAGGATGTGCGTCGACTTCTACTGTAAGCCTTTTTTACGAACATGCTCGAAATTCCTCCCGCGCGCGCAGAGTAGCCCAGGAGGCATTGTCAACTGGGCGAAATATCCGCCCAACAATATCCAGCACGGCCGACAATAGTGGGAAACTGATACCCCCGCGGCGGCGAAAGCGACCACGAAGACGACGACGACGGCGGCGAGGACGACGACGAAGACGACGAGGACGAAGACGACGACGACGACGACGACGACGACGACGAAGACGACTCGAGGAGTCGATTGGATGTGCATCGACTTCGATTGCAAGTGTTTTTGCGAACATGCTCGAAATTCCTCCCGCTTACACAGTAACCCAGGAGGCATTCTCAACCGGGAGAAATAACCGCCCAACACTATCACGCACGGCCTACAACAGTGGGAAAATAATCCCCCCGCGGCGGCGAGGACGACGACGAAGACGACGACGACGACGAAGACAACGACGAAGATGATGAAGACAACGAAGACGACGAAAACGAAGAGGCTTCTGACCCCGCAACCTAGGCACGGCGGTGACGCTGTTGACCTACAGCCAAAGTCCTGGCCCCCGGAGGCCGAAAATTGAGAAAACCCGCCAGTCGCATTTTTGTCGCAGCGCCCAGATCTGGGGGAGGCTTGTGGTCCAGAATCCAGGCAAGGCGGTGAGGTTTGTGACCCACAACCCAGACACAGCGGTGGGGTCTTCAACCACGACCCAGGCACGGCGGTGCAGTCTGTGACACACTACCCACAACGGCGGCGAGGCGTCGGACTCACAACCCAGGCGCGGCGGCCTGGTCTTTCAGCCACAGCCATTCGCGGTTAGTTGGCGGCCTCATAAGGTCTCATTGGCGGCCTCGTAAGATCTCCGATTGGGTATCTAATTGATTTTACTCGTAAGAACCGTGAAGATCTCATAAGATCCTTGGGAATATCGTAAGATTTGCTGAATATCTCGTGAGATTCCTGAAGATCTCGTAAGATCTCGCAAGATCTCTGAAGTGTTGGGGATTGGGACCATTTCTGGTTGCAGTCCACTCCGAAAGGTTGCAATTGGGACAAGTCGGTTGGGATCCGTCCCATTCCTGGGTCCCCCCCCCTCAAAATCAGCCTCCCTCCTGCCTGGGCAAAATTACCAGGGCGCCCCCCACCCCGTGGAACATTAGCGGGGGGGACACGCCAGATCTCCCCTCCCTTACCCCACCCATTCCCTCGGGAAAATCATTCGGATGTCCACAACGCCCCCCCTCCCAGCGGCGCCGACGACGACGACGAACGACCCACGACGCACGACCACATCCCATAACCGGCCCAAGACGGTCACAACCCGTCTCTGACAGCGAGTCGCCCGCAAACCCCAATTTTCGTATCATTGCAGCGCCATGGGTTGGGCTAGAACATACGTAAACGCGCGCGTGGCTCTAGCAAAAGAACTTCAAAAGATGCCATATGGGAGATAATAGGGATGTTTTACATGCCCCCCCGTCGGGGTTCGAAATGACCTCCCGGGGCATTTTGGGGTGTTTTTGGGACCATCGGGCCCCTCTTGGGGTTCACCTTGGCCATCTTGATCTTACATTGAGGCCCCAAGAGTCCATCAGAAGCGAAAAGACGAGACGATGAAGCACATGGAGTTCCGTTAGATGTTGGAAGGATCTTGGCTTCTCTGGGGGGCGATTTGGAGGCTATGTAGCCACTTGGAGCGGTATTGGGACGGCCATGGCGCATGTTGGATGCATGTTGGAAGTTACATTGCGCTATAGTGTGCGATGTGTGGGGACGTATTTGGCTATTTGGGGTTTTCACGTATTTCCAATACGAGTTCGCACGCATTCAGAACACGTAAGCAAAATCTTGGGCGGCTTGGGGTCCTACTGGGGCCATCCTGGGCCATCTTGGGCGCTCCAACGCGTCGCGACCGGGCATGTCCAGGCTCAGGGGGAGGGGCTCGGGTGAGACGTAAACCTCTCCCCCAAGGGGAAGAGGGAGGTTGGAGGAACTCACTCCCTCAACCACCTTCGCCCACAGGGCTGGTGGGATTCCCGCAAATCTGGCAGAGTCTGGTTATGGACCCAGATCGGTGGGCAGACTTCAGAATTTCAGTCGAATCATCGATTCCTGACTGCCCTGCCTGCACGCAAGTTTCTGAAATCTCAGGGTAAGCATGGTCACGAACGACCGTCGTCGTCGTCGGGAGGGAGGGAGGGGAGAGATGAAGGGAGGGCACGTACATGGTGTCAAGACAGAGCAACGCAGCGCAAGCGAATCCAGATCCCATGCCCTGCTCCTCCTCTTGACGTATCCTCCTCCGTCCTTCTTCCTCCCATGTTTCCTTCCCCCTCTCCACCCCCGTCCTTCCTGTCTCTCCTTCTCTCCCTTCTTCCCCCTCCTCTCTCTCTCTCTCTCCTCTTCCCTCCTGATATCCTCCCCCTCATCACCATGTCCCTTCCACTCCCCTCCTCCTCCGCCTCCTCCTCCTCTTCCCACTCCCTCTCCCTCTTCTCCTCCGCCCCTCCTGCTCCTCCCTCCTTCTCCCAGACGACTGGGGGGGGACTGTGGTCCTCCGGCCAGCGTCGGCCGAGGCCTCTACATCAAGAGCATCCAGCTCGGCGGCGAGTGGCTGGCCTTCCAGGCGGCCGTCTCCGTCGCTTCGCTTCGTCGTCCTCGTCGTCGGCGTCGGCATCGTCGTCGTCAGCGTGGTCCTCGTCAACGTGGTCGTGATCATGGTCGTCGTCGTCGTCCACGTGGGAATCCTCGTCTGCGTGGGCGTCGTCGACGTGGTCGTGGTCGTGGTCGTGGTCGTGGTGGTGGTCGTCGTCGTAGTCGTCGTCGTCGGGTCGTCGTCGTGGTATCCTGGCGGCGCCTCCAGAGCCGCGAGGGGGGGTCATGCTCGTGTTGTCTCCTTAGCTGCCTCGATACGCCCGTTTCGATACGCAACACGTCCCGTGTTCAACCCGTCCCTATTCAAACTGGCCGGCACAGACGCTTGGCGCAGCTTGGAAGACGGATTTGCCGAATATTCAATGTAGAGTTTCTGACGTAAATCGGACACTCTGGAATCAGCAGATACCATGTGTGGATGTGATATTTAGAACACCTCCGCTCATCGAGATCCTGGGGGCCACTACCCACACGACTCCCAAAAAGCTACGTCTTATCGCTGGCTCCTATCCCCAGACTTCCGACTCCTGCTCCCACTTTCCCCCCTCGCACCTCACACCTTCCCCGTCCACCCCAGCATGTGCAACCTTGTGCAGACCGACGAGCACCAGCATGTGCAGACCTGTGCCGGCTCCCACCCCCCTCCCCGCCCTCCCCTGCATGTGCAGACCTTTGCAGACTGACGGGCACCAGCATTTGCAGACTTGTGCCGACTCCCACCCCCTCCCCGTCCACCCCAGCATGTGCAGACTTGTGCAGACCGACGAGCACCAGCATGTGCAGACTTGTACCTCTTCCACCATATCACGACATACACATATGGCGTACACACCGCTTGGGGTCCACACGGCGGCCGACGACGATTACAAATCCCAATCTACTTCAAGCGCCTTCCTACTTGAGTTGAGGAGGCCTTCGCCGACTACTCTTTGTGACGGTACGCCGACAGAGGTGGACGACGACGCAATACGGCCTCACTGCGACGGGATGGCGGGGCCTTCCGACTCCTGCCTTCTAACTCCAGGTTACCACGATTCGGCGCATTTCCGAAGGAAGCGCCATTACGACAGAATCTGGCTGTTGTGACCCACAAGTCAAGGTTGCGACGATTCGGCTGCATTTCCGAAGGAAACGCCGTTACGACAGAATCTTGCTATTGGGACCCACAAATCAAGGTTGCGACGATTCGGCAGCATTCCCGAAGGAAACGCCGTTACGACAGAATCTGGCTAGTGCGACCCACAAATCAAGGTTACGACGATTCGGCAGCTTTGCCGAGGTAAGCGCCGTTACGACAGAATCTGGTTGCGACGATTCGGCCGCAATTCCGAGGACAGCGCCGTTACGACAGAATCTGTTCTGGATCCCACCTTTTACCGACTCCGTACAGTGAGCGCATGGCCGGAATGTTCTAGTGTTTTGGGCGCTTCGGCCCCACCCTGCAGCACCCGCGCGGTGCACGATGCAGGCCGGTCCGTTCCGTTCCGTTCTGTTCCGTTCCGTAACACGTCCCGTGTTCAAGACGTCCGGGTCAATGCGTTGCGTGTTGGCTCCACGTATTGGCCTACGTTTTGGCGAACGTATCGCGTCGGACCTACGTTTTCAGCCTACGTGTTGAGCTCCGTATCAATAAGATACGTGTTGCGTGTTGCGTATCGGGGCGTTTCTGGTGCCACCTCGGCAGCCCCCGGGCCATCTTCTTCCTTCTGCTCCAGTCTGATTGCCCCCGCGCCTTCCATTCAGGGCTGGCGAGAGCGACCTGCCAAACGCCTCCTTTCTCTCCTCTCCTCTGCCCCTCCCCCCGCTCTCCCCTCCCCCCCTTTGCTCACCCCTTGGCATCGCTCGGACGTGTGGATTGTTTTCGGCATGGACCATCGAGGAGCATCCTGGAGCATCTTGCGAGACATGCACGCACGAGATCGAAACACGCACGGGGAATGGGCGTCCTAGCGACGGCAAGACCCTCTCCATCCCCCCCCCCTCTTGAGCACCTTCTCCCCCGCTTCCCGCATGTGTTCCCGCCCCCGTCTCTGCCGTCCCCTCCTGCTGATCAGGGGCCCTGTTGGACCCACCTCGGCCCTCTCGGGGAGTGCAATGCTCATGAGCAGCACGTGCTCCGGAGATCTTCGTCCGCGAGGACCCGTGGCGGACGGTCGAAGCAGCGAGCCTGAGAAGGAGATCGCCGCAGTAGATGGGGTCGGATAGTGGCGCCGCATTCCACGCCAGCGTCGCCGATGCATTGGCGATGCGCCGCTATCCTCCGACACCATCTGCGTGGACCCCATCTAGGAGGCCTCCAGGTGGTTCGTTCGTTCGCTCGCTCTCCCTGCCCGTGTCAGACGCGTGTTCGCTTCCACACTGCTCAGGTAAAAAAACATATGTTTGCCATCACGTTCGTTTTCATAATTAGCCTCCTCCTCCTCCTCCTCCTCCTCCTCCTCCTCCTCCGCCCCGACAGTGGGGGCCTGGCACCAGTTCTCATGGTGTCAGCGCCACACACTCGTCGGGGCACACCGTCAGAATCGACTGCATGCAGCGACTGGGGGCAGCTAAACCAGCTCGCGCCTTTTAGAACCAGCCGCGTGGCATTTTGCCCGTGGCAGCGGCGTTAGCCACGCTCCGTAACCTGGAGATGGGTACCAGGCACGGGGAATTGTGCATTTGGTAGAGAGGCGGGGCTATGTGGCCCGTAAGTCCCACGGTGGCCGTGTGCCCGCTCACCCTGGGAGACAAACCAGTTGCGCATGCCAACTGATTGGGCAGGGGTTGACTATCGGAAAGCACGTCGCAGTGACGAGGTGAACCGGTCGTCCCCCTACGCACCGCGCCCTTTCGGCTGGAGGCAAGTCGCTGGGCGACGAGGTAGCTGCCTATCCCCTGCTCGTCGGTGCGCGCGCCTTCGGGCCCGCGTCCTCCCGTAAGGGGCAGGCTGGGGTTGCCGGTCGCCTGCAATTGCAGTGGGCACCGTCCACGACCTGGATCCATGACTCCTCCTCCTCCTTCTCCTCCTGCTCCTCCTCCTCCCCCTCCTCATCCCCCTCCCGCTCCCGCTCCCCCTCCCGCTCCCCCTCCCCCTCCCCCTCCCCTTCCCCCTCCCCCTCCCCCCCCCCACAGCTACAGCCAGCGTCGCCCAGATAGCGTGCGAGGTGGCGCCGCCGGCCCGCTTAACGATTGCAAGTCATCCGCTACCCCCCACCTTGGGGCCAGCGCGCACGGGAGTTAGCCGTGGCAGGGGAACAGCGTGCACCGAGGAATCGCTCGCGGGGGGGGGTCGCCTCACGGGGATGGCGTGCAGGGAGGAAGCTTTATTTTGAGGAGATGGCGTGGTTTGCGGGGTTCGAACCCATGCCGATGCAGTCTGATCCGTCGCGTGTTCGGATCCGAACCGATTTCCCGGTTCGATGCTAACTAATCCTGCCCCCCTTTCCCCCCCCCAGCGGGTGGACGTGGTGCCGCTCCTGCGCGACGCCAGCGGCGAGAACTCGGCGGGCAGCAGGACGCTCCCTCGCCCCCGCGCGTGTGTGTGCCTAGGCGCTTCGGACGCCTCGGGCGCTCGTCCGTCGCGCGCGGGGAGTGCTTTGGGCGGGTGCTGCCGGTGCACCCAGGCAGGGTTTTCAGGCCGATCCGATCGATCCGATTCAGTATCGGCTCCGTCCGACCCGATCCGATCCGATTCCGAGTTCCCGTCGACACGGCGCGGCCCGATGCGTGCATGGCTTTGAACTAAGCATCCTGGTGCGGCGCAGCCGGTTCCAGTTCGACTCCTTGCGCCGATGCAGCCCGATGCGATGCACGTGCTGGTCCGATCCGATTGCTCGATGCGATGTCGACTGATCGTGCCCCGGGGGAAGGAGGAGGGGGGAGGAAGGAGGAGGAGGAGGAGGAGGAGGAGGAAGAGGAGGAGGCGGAGGAGGAGGAAGAGGAGTAGGAGGAGGAGGGCGAGGAGGCGGGGGAGGAGGAGGAGGAGGAGCGGGATGCAGGAGCAGCAGCAGGCATGATGGTATGGTATGGGCTTGCCCCAAGGGAGGAGTCAATCTCGGCGGCCGGTCGAATTAGGAAGGGTGTGTATACGAATGAGGAGAAGAAATGAACTCCTTCCCCGAGGGGAGGAAGGGGAAAGCAACATCGAAGTCGCTAAACCACATATGCCCAGAGGCCTGGTGGGATTCCGTGTGCATCCTCTCCGTTCCCACCATTCCCCCTCCCAGTATATCTCTCCTTGTCGTCCACTCTTCTCCCGCTCCCGCCTTTCATCTTCTTCCTTCTCCTCCCCCCGCCTCCTCTCTGATCCGGCTTCCCCCACTCTTCTCTCTCCCATGACTCTGTCCTGAAGATGTCCCACACTCTCCGCGCGTTGTTTTCCCATATAGGATTGGACAAGAGAGTTGTTTCAAGGGTTTACAGTTTACAATATGATTGTGTGTGTTGCTTCAAAATGGTGCTCCGACTTCGGCTTGGGCATAGGTTTCAGATCGGCGACTTGCTCCCGTCGTTCAGAATGGCACTCTTGCCCCAGCGCGGACCACTTTTCTAGATCCGAGTCCTTCCTCATCGTTGCCGCCTTCACCTGCTCTTCCTGCTCCTCTCGCTCCTTCCACTCCAGTTCCTACTGCTGCTGTTTGTCTGTCCTAGTCCTCCTCGTCCTTCCGCGAGGTACCCAGGGAGGTACCCGAGGTGCCCAAGTGTTGTCATGCACATGCTTATTGGGAGGGTTACCCGAGGGACCCAATACCCAAGGTGCTCAATAGTTGTCATGCACATGCTTATTGGGAGTGGTACCCGAGGTACCCAAGGACGCACCCGAGGTACCCAGGGAGGTACCCGAGGTGCCCACTTGTTGTCATGCACATGCTTATTGGGAGGGGTACCCGAGGAACCCAAGGAGGCACCCGAGGTACCCAGGGAGGTACCCGAGGTGCCCAATGGCTGTCATGCACATGCTTAGTTGTCATGCGCATGCTTTTTGGGGGTGGTACCCGAGGTACCCAAGGAGGCACCCGAGGTACCCAGGGAGGTACCCGAGGTGCCCAAGTGTTGTCATGCACATGCTTATTGGGAGGGGTACCCGAGGGACCCAATACCCAAGGTGCTCAATAGTTGTCATGCACATGCTTATTGGGAGTGGTACCCGAGGTACCCAAGGACGCACCCGAGGTACCCAGGGAGGTGCCCGAGATGCCCAATTGTTGTCCGGCTGCCAGCGACCGGTGACTGGCGACCGGCTGGCCGGCGACCAGCGTCCGGCGCCCGGCGACCGGCGGCCCCATGCGGGGGACCGGCTTCCTCCTCCTCCTCCTCCTGCCGGGTCGTCCGTCGGCCTGTCGGCCGCACTTCGGCGCATGCACCCTTTCCCTTACCCTTACCCGCTGTTCCTGCTCAGCTCCCCATTTCCGATTGCGCGCAACGTGATGGGCCTTTTTGGATGTTCCAGGTCCGCTATGACACGCGTCCGAGGGACAAACGACAGCGCAATGGGAAGGGACCGGTGGGAAGGGTGGGACGTCAGATGTGGCGCGAGCGCACCTGGTTTAGCTCACCCGTGTCCCCGTTTTCCCCCCCCCATCCCACCCTGCCCGTCCACCATCCCTCATCGCCCCCTGCCCCCCAGCCAGGGAAGAAGCAGGACGAGCAGGATGAGGAGGAGGTGGAGGAGCACAACGACGAGCAGGAGATGGAGGAGCACAACGCGGAGCATGAGGCAGAGGAGGAGGAGAGGAGCAGGACGCGGAAGAAAAGGACGACGGGGAGGAGAGGAGGAGGATTGCAGTGTAGTGCTAATGCCCTTGAGAGTAGGCGCGTCCATGTGAAGATGCTCGTGGAGGTTGGGATGACAACCGTCTGGTTCCAGAGCCTGTGCTGGGACTGGTGTTGGCACCTGGTTTGGTGGATGGTATGTGCGCTCAGCATACCCCGAGACAGCCACCTCTGTTCGACACACGAGGTTTGACTGGGGGTGCTTCACGATCGCACCATATCGCCTCCTACCGTACAAGTGGTCAGTCATGAGGAGTGAATCACCACATGATCATAGGACGGGCTGGCATCCTTCAGAACAGTGTCAGACGCTGGCTCCCTTACCTCGTAGGGGGGCCCAGGGCAGCTCACCCGGGGCCACCCTAGTTGGTGCATGTGCGCCTGATACATCGCAGGGAGGATCGCCATCCTGGCGGTGACGGGGGTCGCATCAGGGCAGCATGGAGACCAGGTCTGCAGTAGGCCGGGGCGCCAGCTCAGGGGTGTCAAGGGGGGGCCTGCACCATCGCAGGTCGGATCGCCACCCCAGGGTTGACACGGGCAGGCAGCTGAGGCAGGCCGGGTCGCCCCCCCCCCCCCCCCCCACGTGTGGACGGGGCCGACCCCCTCCACGGCCGCCGATGTAAGAGGGACCTGTTCCACAGGATGCCTCGCCCCAGCTGCAACGCGCGAGAGTGGGCACCAGCGGGCTGGGGCACGTTCTGAACATACCGCCCCCCCCGGGCGCAAATATTCAGAAATTTTCCGGGGGCGCCCCGCGTTTGCCCCCCAGGCAGTGAGCCCTTGCCCGGGGCCGCGCTGGCGGTCGTGGGCCGTCGGCGGCCTCAGAAGGCCGCTCGGGGCCCACGGTCACCGAGGGCCGGCCAGGCCTGGAAAGGTGAGCAGGGCCGCCAGTATTGCCGCTGGGCTCGCAGGACTGCCGGCATTGCGCCGGGCTGTGTCTTGGAGGTCAATACCTTCGACCAGGCGCGCAGGCCTGCCAGGTCAGTGTCCAGGAGGGCGGGATCACCGACATGTCCAGCGGAAACAACACCTCCGGCGTTGTCGCCAGCGTATGCGCGCATTCCTCGTGGGAAAGGTGTGCAGGCAGGACCGCCGGCATTTCCGCAGGGCTGTGTCCTTGAGGTCGGACCTTCCGACTTTCAAGTTGCGAACAACGCTGCCAGCATTGTCGTCGGGCCGTGCCTTTGAGGCACATAAGACGCAAAAGACTTCCGACGTGTCGATTGAAAATGCTTGCGGATTTGATCGATGGAGCTTCGTATCCTGATTTGGAAGGTTTCTGGGTCGAGGTCGACCAGAGTCCATTACGTGAGGGTGTGCAGGACCGCCGGCCTCGCTGTCGGGCTGTGTCTTTGAGGCAACAGCCTCGCGACGGGGGTGGGCGTGCATTGTCTCTGGGCGCACGAAATCTGGCATTGTCGCCAGATTGCGTCCAAAAGAGGACGAACCTTGGTGAGAATGTGCAGGACCGCTGGCCTTTCCGCCGGGCTGCGTCCTTGAGGCAAACTGCCTAACAACTGGGGTGAGCGTGCATAATCTGCGAAAGCACGAAGTCTGACACTGCTGACAGCCAGTGTCAACAACAAAAGACAACCTTATTTATCGGTTCGACGTGGGAATGCGCAGCCGGTCTTGCCGCTGGGCTGTTTCTTTGACGCAACGGCCCCGCGACGGGGGCAGGCGCGCATAATCTGCGGACCCATGATGGCTGGTGACGGCGCCTAAAAGAGGACGAGCTTTGGTAGCGGTTCGACGCGAGGGCGCGGAGGACCGCCAGCCTTGCCGCTGGCAGCGTCCTTGGAACAGCAGTCTCGCGACGGTGGCAAGCGCGCAGAACCGGCGAATGCTCGCAAACTGGATGTGCCGCCAGGCCGACCCCGCAGGAAACGAAATGTGAGAACCAGGGATATGTGAGTGTGCAGGACGGACGGCCTTGCCGCCAGGCTGTGTCCTGGAGGCAACAGCCTCGCTCGCGACGGGGGCAAAATCACATGGTTTGCGGACGCACGATAGCCAGCATTGCCGCCAGACAGCGTCCAATAGGAGACGAATTCTGGTAGTGGTTCGACGTGGGAGTGCGCAGGACCGCCAGCCTTGCCGCCGGGCTGTGTCCTCGAGGCATTTGCTTCGCGATTGGGCCAACCGCGCAAAGTCTACGGATGCACGCAAGCTGGCGCTGCCGCCAGGCAGCGCCCAGAGGAGATGGTTGCGAGTCCCAGGCCAATGCGTGCGTGCAGGATCGCCAGCCTTGCCAGCGGGCTGTGTCCTTGAAGCGACTGCCTCGCGACGGGAGTATGCAGAACTTGCGGATGCACGAAAACCGGCACTGCCGCCAGACAGCGCACAAGAAGAGACGAGCCATCGTAAAACACAGGCCACGCGAGGGTGCGGAGGACCGCCGGCTTTGCCGCCGTGCTGTGTCCTCGAGGCAACTGCCCCACGACAGGAGTAAGCGCGTAGAGACTGTTGGCGCACGAAAGCCAGCACTGCCGCCAGCCAGCGCCCAGCAGAAAACGAAACGTGGTGACTGGAGAGGCATGAGCACGTGCAAAACCTTCGGCCTTGCCGCCGGGCAACGCCCTTGAGGCAACAGCTTCGCGACGGGGGCAGGCGCGCTTAAACTGCGGACGCACAATCGATGGCATTGCCGCCAGCCTGCGTTTCAAAAAGGACAAACCCTGGTAGCGGTTCGACGTGAGAGCGCGCAGGGCCGCAGGCCTCACCGCCGGGCAGCGTCCTTGAGGCATCTGCCTCGCGACGGGGGAAGGCGCGCATAATGGACGCAAGCTGGCAATGCCGCCAGGCAGCGCCCACAGGAAGCGAAGTGGGGTAACCATGAAGATGTGAGTGTGCAGGACCGCCCGCCTTGCCGCAGGGCTGTGTTCTTCAGGCGACTGCCTCGCGACGAAGGTAAACACGCAGAACCTGTGGATGCACGAAAGCCGTCAGTGCTGCCCTTGCACCAGCCACCAAGGCGGGTGCCCGTGCGTGTGCATCGACACGGATGGGCATTTGGGTCCATACGGCTTTGCTATCTCTTTGGGGAAGGCAGTGCTTGCCCTGACTGGGAGGGCATAGTTAAGGTCCCAGGCCGCTGTCGCCTGGTCGCTCACATGATAAATGGGGCTACTCAGGGGTGCTCTTCGAGCTCAGAGAACTCTTAGTGGCGCCCCATACGTCCCCTGAGTTTACCCCTTATACCCAGTATCGAATGGCGTCGGCGAGGAGGAGGAGGCAGAGGAGGAGGAGGAGGAGGAGGAGGAAGAGGAGGAGCATAAGCAGGAGCAGGAGCAGGAGCAACAGTGGCAGGAGCAGGAGCAGCAGCAGCAGCAGCAGCAGCAGCAGCAGGAAGAGGAGGAGGAGGAGGAGGAGGAGGACGAGGAGCAGGAGGAGGAGGAAAGCGAGGAGGAGGAGGGGGAGCGCGAGGATGACGACGAGGACGAGGAGGAGGAGGCCGAGGAGGACGAGGCCACCGCCCGTGCCTCAGGACGGTGCGCCCCTTCTCCGTGCGGGTGCAGGGCGGCGCCCAGCAGGACGCCGCAGGCCGCCCGTGGCGCACGCGTGCGCCGCCCGCCGAAGACCTTTTTTTGTCTTGTTTTCTTTTGGGGGGGACGCGGTCGTCTTCCTCCTCCTCGCTTCTCCTCCTCCTCCTCCTCGCACTTCCTCCTCCTCCTCGTCGTCGTCGTCCTCAGCCTCTTCCTCCTCGTCCTCCTCCTCCTCCTTTTCTCCTCCGCCTCCTCTTCCTCCTCCTCCTCCTCCTCGTTCTCCTCCTCTTCCTCCTCCTCTTCTTCCTCCTCCTCCTCTTCCTCCTCCTCCTCTTCCTCCTTTTCCTCCTCCTCCTCCCCCTTTTCTACGAGGAGGACGACGTCGTCGTTGTAGTCGTCGGCGCGACGACGGCGGCGGCGGCGGCGGTGTGTTCGTGCATGCTTCGTTATGTTAGGTCTCTCTCTCTCTTTCTCGCTCTGTCGCACGCTATCCTGCTCCTCCTCCCTATTAGTATCTCTCTTTGGCGCTCTCTCTCTCTCTCTCTGGCCCTCTCTCTCGCTTGCACTCTCGCGCTGTCTCTCGTTCTGTCTCTCTCTTTCCTCTCTCTCTCTCTGTATCGTTTTCTCTGTCTGTCTTTCTTTCTTTCTCTCTCTCTCTCTCTCTTTCTCGCTGTCTGTTTCTGTCTCGGTGTGTGTGTGTGTGGGGGGGGGGGGGGGGATGGGTGTGTGTGGGTGTTTCTCGCTCTCTCTCTTTTTCTCTATGTCCCTCTGTCTCTCTATGTTTATTCTCTCTCTCCCTCTCTCTCTCTCTCGTTCTTTCTCTCCGTCTCTCTCTCTCTCTCTTTCTCTCTCTGTTGATTGGTAAGATAGAAAGCGTGCTGAATGTGGAAGAGCATGTGGTCGAATTGATCGCCTCCCCAGCCGTTTTTTGGGGACAGACGCCGCCTGACCAGCGGCGGCCACTGACGGTTTGGGACGGCGCGTGCTCTTGGGCACCGTCTTTATTTATTTCGGATCTCACATCGGGCGTGGCATTCGCAGAGGAACAGGAACACAGCGTACAGTTGAGGCCCATGCCAAGAACCACCTTGCTTGCCTCTAGGGTGCCCTGGGTTTTTTGGGTTTCGAGGGTTTTGCTGTGGACAGCGTGACATCCCCACACCAAGTATCAATGGACGTCCTGGGGTCTCAGGGTTGGGTTTCTTGTGGCAGGTTGCTTGTTGTCGGGCCCCTACTGTGTCACATCGGGCGTAAGAGGAACAAGAAAGCAGCATACATATTTATCTCGTTCCTCCCCCTCACCACTCCCAGAAGCCAGGAAAAACCGTCAGAGGAGGCGGGGCAGGGAGAGGAGAAAGGAGATGGGCCTGCACAGGAATTGCTTGGCTCCCAGCCCCCAGCCACGTTCGCACACATGTAGCACAACATTGAAATTGAGTCGGGCATGTCCCTCTACTGGAGGAATATTCAAACATCGTCAACAAATAGTCTGGGGACGATTTTATGCCTATGCGTGACTATTTTTGAATATGTTTGACTATGTTCCATTCTTCTTCCAAAATCCGGCTGTAGGATGCCCGATCTCATATCACATATGGCTGGCGTTAGAAAGGTAGCGTACGATGTGGCGCCACCAGGCGGCTTGTTGCACGCTGTTCCCCACCCTTGGGCACAGCGTGCACGAAGAAGTCTTCGCATGGGGGACGGCATACACAAGAAGTGGCCCTCGAGGGGGGATCGCCTCGCAGGAGTTAGCGTGCCTTTTGAAGATCGATGCTGCACGCGATCTTTCCAACGCTACCCGCAAGAGGTGGCGCTTCCCCCGCCAGTCTCGGCCTCCCCAGCGGCCGCGCTCGTGGCCCTGAGGCCATCAGAGGGACGATGTGGGGGGAAGCGCCAGCCCCTGAGAACACTCATGGCCCTCGGGATGGAAAAAGGTCGGAGGGGAGGAGGAGGACGAGGAGGAGGAGGAGGAAGAGGTAGAGGAGGAGGAGGAGGAGGAGGAGGAGGAGGAGGAGGAGGAGGAGGAGGAGGAGGACGAGTGGGAGAAGGAGGAGGAGGGGGCCCAGGGCCAGGGGGGTGGGGAGGAAGCCTTCGCTCGCTCCTGGAGGTTTTCTCGCCCTGGGGTGCCTTCCAGCAGCTGCGCCCTGTCGAGAGCTCTCCAGGGGGGCCCGGATCGTCCCGAACGGCCGCCAGAGGAGGCCCGACTTGTGAGTCGTATGGCCCAGAGATCCGAGGATCTGCTTTTATCAATGCGGCTGTTTTTCCTGGATTTCGGCCTCAGGGGTCCGTCATCTGGCCCAGGGACCATTCGAAATGGATCTGGCATGACAAATCACCCCGGGGAAGGTGTCGGGACTTCTGGGGCCGCGGATTTAGAAAAGCATGTCGGCGGACGTCCGGGGAGTCGCGTGACCCGGAAGCCATTGGGCGCCGAGGGCCAGTACGGTGGCACGTCGGGGTGTACACTTTCCAGCTGCCTCGGGACCGACGTGCCCCCGTGGCGGAAGTGTCTTTTCTACACTGCTCAAGGGCGCCCTCGAGGGCGCGAAGTGATTCGCGCTTCGCGCTTCGGCTCCGATGCCTCCTTATCCTCTTCTCCCCTGGGAGGCGGCTCGAGAGCGCGAAGCTATTCGCACGTCGCGCTTCGCGCAGCGCGAAGCGCGACGTTGGGAGCCCGTGCTGCTCTCCTCCGCGGGCCATAGCGGCAGGGAGGGAGAGGAGGGTCGAGGCCCGCGCGCCCGCACCCGAAGGGGCCAGCAAAGTCCGATGCCCTGAGCTTCTCGAGATATTCGAGGCCCCCAGAGGCCGGCGGCATCGGTGTCTTTTTCGTTTCCCCACTCGGAGAAGGAAGCACGCCAAGAGCACGAATTCGTGGCGCGCAGCGCGGATTTCTCGGGTCGGCGCCTGGCCCCCCCGGAGCGCTAAATAATGTTTATGCCTTTATTTCTTATTCTTCTTATTATTATTATTATTATTATTATTATTCTTCTTCTACCCTCTCCCTCCCTCCCCCCCCTGGCGCCACTTCCCCTCTGACCCTCCCCTCTCTGCTCTCTCCGCCCCTCCCCGCTTTCGCCGCCCTCCCCCGCTCCTGGCTCCCTGAGAGCACTGGTGTGCCGCCACCGAGCTTGCCAGAACGCTCGGCTGTCGGCGTCTGCGGGGAGCGGGGAATTCACCTGTGGCTCGCAGGGCCCCCGAGCCCCTGGCCTTAGGTCGGGCCTGTCCCCCTACAGATGGATTTTCGACAAAATATCCCAAAATAGTCAAAAAATAGTCAGGGGACTATTTTTCTATTTTTCCATTATTTTGTGTTACCATTTTGCCTGTAGGGGGACACGCCCGACTTCATCCTGGCCCTAATTTGCAGTCAAACTGTCGAGGCGGCCGGCCACTCGGGGATGAGCCAGCCAGCTTGGCTGAGGGTACGTGGCCGAACCAGAGACCTCCGCACAGCAGAGTGCTAGACTCAAGGTGTTCCTGCCTACTTTAGCCTCGACCGCCAGAAAGAGCTGCGAGCAACCAGGAGGGCATCGAGACTGGAGGGCTTTCACGTGCCGGGTCCTGGGAGGTTATAATCGCTCGACCTTTCGCCGGCGCGTCGGGCAGACACCGTTTCGGTACTGCTTCCCTGGTGCTCGAAATGACCTGAAGTACGATGGGAGCATCATACAGTGGAGGCCCATGTCAAGAACCACCCTGCTGGCCTCCAGGGTGCCCTGGGTTTTTCGGGTTTCGAGGGCTTTGCTATGGAACGCGTGACATTCCCACACCACAAAGTCGGTGGGCGTCCTGGGGCCTCAGGGTTGGGTGTCTTGTGGAAGGTTCCTTGCTGTCGGGCCCCTAATGTAATGCCTGGCCCCGCCTCTCTCTCTCCGCCCGCCCTGCATCAACTGACGATAAAAAGCACCCCCAACCCTAAGAACGCGATGAAGACGTAGCTTCCCTGAGGTCCCCGCATTAGGGATATGATAATTCTGGGTTCTTTGGTGCGATACACCTGCAGAAAGGACCCCCTCCACCCTAATGTTCCTGGCCTTCCTAACTTAGGTCCCCTCCCACAGGGTTAGGGCCCTCCTTAGGTCCCCTCCACCCTAATGTTCCTGGCCCTCCTAACTTAGGTCCCCTCCCACAGGGTCAGGGGCCCCCTTCTGGCCAATCGCTGCAAGGTCCGCCTCGATCCGATCGGTGCGACTCGGTAGCGGCTCGGGCTGGCCCGATCCGCTTCGGCCCTGGCTTCCCGACGCTCCGCTGCGGCCCGCTGCTCGTTTTTCTCGGCGTGGTGGACCTCCTCCTCCTCCTCCTCCTCCTCTTCCTCCTCCTCCTCCTCTTCCTCCTCCTCCTCCTCCTCGACCATCGAGGAGCATCCTTGACCATCGAGCAACAGAAAAGCACGCAGGACACCTAAGAGATGCACGGGGGAAATGGACGTCCTGGCGATGGCGACATGCTCGCACGGCGCTGCCGTGCCACTCTGGCTCGGTCGAGCCCGCTCGTCGGATGCCGCCCCCGTGCAGGCGCGGCCCGATGCGACTCACGGGCCCGGCCCGATGCGACTGCCCTGCTCGAGGCCCCCTCGCGTCGTGAAAAAATCGCGGCGGGAGGTTTTTCGCTATTTTCGGCCCCTGGGGGCCCTCACCAGTCCTCGGGACCGTCCAAGAACGACTCGGGGTAGAAACCGGCCCTGGGGAAAGAGTCTAGACTTTCGGGGGAGCCGTGGTGAAAAAAACAGGACATCGCATGTCTGGGGCTATGGGACGAGGATACATCCGTTTCAGAGCGTTCTGGAACGCTCTTAGAGCGCTCCGAAACGCTCTGAGAAGGCCGCTGCGCCCGAGGCGTCCTCCAGAGCTGCCGGATCTCAGGGATTCTCGATTTATTACCACACGATGTTATCCTCGTCCTGGCCTCGTCTTACCCCCCTCTGTCCATTGAGGGTAATAGGGCCCCTAGCCCTAAAAACACGATGAAGACGTAGCCTCACTGAGGTCTCCGTCTCTGCATCAAAGATCATAAGTCTAGGGGGCTTAGCTCGACATATCTGCAGACAAGACCCCCTATCTGATGCTTTTGGCCCTCCTAACCTAGGTCCCCTTCCAAAGGGTTAGGGGTCATTTCATTGCTGGTCACCCGGCCCCGCGCCGCAGACGAGTACGAGCCTTGGAAGGCCCTCGACAAGAAGGGCCGGCTGGTCACCGGGCGAGTGCGCCTGATGCCGGTGTGGAGGCGGGCGGCAGCCATCCGGCTGGCCTCCTCGCGTTTGGAGCAGGAGCACGACGCACGCCCTTGAGGAGGAGGAGGAGGAGGAGGAGGAGGAGGAGGAGGAGGAGGAGGAGGAGGAGGAGGAGGAGGAGGGGGAGGAGGAGGAGGAGGAGGAGGAGGAGGAGGAGGAGGAGGAGGAGGAGGAGGACCAGCGCTCGGCAGTGCTGCTGGGTCTATCCGCCACGATGGCCCCCCTCGCGACGGCGGGAGGGCCCACTGCCTCCCGATCGGTGGCCTGCGACCGAGGGTGAGCTTCCGAGGCGAGGGCATTCAGGAGGGAAAGAAGCACACAAACACAATGAATCGTGGACAAGGATTTTTCGAGTACGTATGGCGATGTTTGAATTCCTGCTTGACTTGTTTTTATGTTAATCGCACAATCCCCCTGCATCTGCAGGAGGGAAAGAAACACACAGACGCAATGAATCGTGGACGAGGATTTGTTCGACTATGTATGGCCATGTTTGAATTCCTGCTTGACTTTTTTATGTTTATTGCGCATCCCCCTTGTATCTGCAGGAGGGAAAGACACGCACACAGACACAATGAATCGTGGACTCCCAGAACATATCGGAAGATATGGGAAGTGGGCGAAGACAAGACCCCAGAACATATGCGAATTTATGTGTGGGGAATCTGGTTATTTGTTTGTGTGTATTTGTTTGTGTGTCCCAGGGCCCCTTCAGGCATGGGCAAGCCGAGTGGCCGGCCGATAGAATTGTGCCAAAGGGACGGGTGGCTTGAAAATCACCAGAGAGTTCTTTCCGCTGTTGGGGTGCGGAAGGTGCAAAGCTCTAGCGAGGTGGGAGGCCGCTCCTCTGTTCGGGGGGCTCAGATTGCGCACTCCTGACAGACCTGATCCGCGCTCTGTGCAGGCGCCGCATCTCTTGCAAAGGATGGTTGTGCTCGACTTGCCGATGTGTTCTAACCATGTGCCACAACGAGTTGTGACGACCTTTGGGGGTATCCGCGAGAGCTGCCATAGCTCTGCAGTTCCCAGGGCACGGCTCGTTGGCTCTAGTTTCTGGTGGTTGATTGATTGGGCTCGTATTCTGCAGACCGTGCAGAGCCAGTGGCCTCTGACGTACTCCCATTAGCTCGGTGGCAAGTCAGGGGAGCATGGTATACCCTCCTAGTTCCGTCTTAGCGTCGATTAGCGTCGATTAGCGTCTGGGAGTCGGTGAGATATCGCCGATTTTGCGTCGATTAGCGTCGATTTAGCGTCGATTAGCGTCGACTAGCGCCGACCAGCGTCGATTCGCAAGAGCCGACAAAACGGTGTGGGAGGCCCCCACGAGTTGCCACCGAACATTAGTGGACCGCTCCCTGGCTTTCCAGCACGGTCCCCGGGGTGTGCGAAGGAAGTGACGGAGGAGGAGGAGGCTCGGGAGGTCGGTCCCCAGGGCCCCACCAGTGGGGATCGGAGGCGGCCCCCAGAGGTGGTTTGGTGTTGCACGGCTTTCAGGAGGGAAAAAGCACAGGGACACGAGTCGCCGTCGCCCTCCAGATACATGTGGGAAGATATGGGAGGTTGGGGGGAAGACAGATTTCCAGAAGGCATGGGAAAAGTTTGGGAATCCTGGGATTTCCAGAAAGCATGGGAAAAGTGTGGGAATCCTGGGGCCTGTGTTCATTCATGTGTGTGTGTGTGTCCCTGGGCCCCTCGAGGTTTGCTCGTGCCCTTCTTCCCTGCCTTGGGGGCGAGGGCCGGCCATCCGGGCAGGGCGGCGGCAGAGTGCCTTCGAGACTCGCGCAGCAGCTCGGTGCCCTAGTCTTATGCTGCTCCAGCCTACTTTGCAAGGGCTCCCACGAGGGCGCGAAGTGATTCGCGCTTCGCGGTCCTCGTTCCTTCTCCCCCTCCTCCTCGTCCTCCTTTTCTCCCTTTGGGGGAGCGGCGAGAGAGCGCGAAGTTATTCGCGCTTCGCGGAGCGCGAAGCGCGAAGTTGGGAGCCCTAGACTTTAGCCTTGATCGCCAGAATGAATTTCGAGCACCAAGAAAACACCCAACAAATCAAGGGTTTTCACGTGTCGGGCCCTGGGAGACACTCTCTCGACACTGTTTCGACACTCTTTGGATACTTTTCTGGGTGCTCGATTTTTTTTCTGGGATGTGGTCCTTAAGTATGGAAGCAACATAACCACAGTTTTAAGTCGGGCCTGTCCCTCTACAGGAGGAGAATTCTGAAATAGTCACAACATAGTTTTGGGACGATTTTTCGACTATGTTTGACAATGTTTGAAGATTTTCCACTCATTTTTATTTGTCGTCTACAATCCGCCCGTGGGAGGACATGCCCGACCTAACCATAGTTCTGAGGCTCGTGTTCTGCTTCGCTGGGCCTGCGAAGCGACCGTGCTGCCTGGTCGGCGATCGTTTCGGTCGCTTCGTTGCCTGCAGCACATTCTCCAGCCTGATGGCTCTCGAGTTCCCCTTGGAGGTCTTGGTGGGCCGCGACTTTGACCAAGACCGTTCCAGAGGGACGGAGGCATGCGCCAGCTGAGGCTTTAAAGTCCGACATGTTGTTCTTGGGGAACCAGTCCAGGAGTGCAGCTTGATCGCTGCATGGTGTCCGGTATGCACGTGGGAGGCGAGAGAGGTGACACGGCAAGCAGCAAGGGCGGCGAGGTGTTCGTCAGCTCCTGACGTTTGCTGGAGCAGACAGCCGACGTTGCCCTTAATCGTCACGTATGCTTCTTCTTCCTTCATGGCCACAACAGCGAACCCCGCACCTCTGTACGCAGTGTGCACACTGGGGTCGCAGCTGACGTCCGTGAACGCGTGGCTTGAGAAAGCATCCTGCATGTTTGTGCTGGTGTCTCTGCATCAGAACTCCAACCGCTCGAGTCCAGTGCCAGGGGGAGGGTTCACAATAAAGTCGGGCTCCGTCTGGACCTGTACTTGACCAAATGGTCACGATGATGTTTCTGAAGTACTTCATGATCAGCCTCACTAGGCAATTGCTCCTTCACGGGCTGCTCCACGGGGCAGCCAAAAATTTGCGATGCTGGATGCAATCGGAGGGTGCACCACAGACGCATTCTCAACTCACGCCGCAGCCCGCGTCGCGTGCACGAGCCTTGGTCCAACAACCCTGTGTTACAATTGTGAGGAGGAGGAGGAGGAGGAGGAGGAAGGAATCACTTCTCTTGCTTGGTGATGCGGGGGCTGGCGAGCACAGACGTCGCGACACCGGCGTCAAGTTTCGAGCCAGGTTGTTCCGAGTTTGGTCGCGGCTCGCTCGCAGAAAAGTAGCCTCCCGATCGCGCTTCACGCAATCGTTCCTTCTGTTGGACCGCAGCCGGCGGACAACCCGCGAGAGGATGATGTTGCTCTCCTCGGGTTGCAAACGTCCGCTGAGGCCCGCCCTGTGGAGGAGGGGCAGGGGGACGAGGAGGAGGAGGAGGAGGAGGAGGAGGAGGATAATGAGAGGTCCTTCGGAGCGACGGGATCCTTGCCCCGAAGGGGCCCCGGCGCGACGGGGCAGCGCCCCTGAGGCCCATCGCTGCGGGCTCGCAGCGCGCAGAGCGGGGCCGCGGCCCTGGCCGGACGGGCGGCTGCCGTCCGCACGAGCAGATGCCAGAGGCAAGCTGCAAGGGCGCCCTCGAGGGCGCGAAGCTACTCGCGCTTCGCGGTTCGGCTCCGATTCCTCCTCCTCTTCCTCCTCCTCCTCCTCCTCCTCATCCTCCTCCTCTTCTCCCTTGGGAGGCGGCGCGAGAGCGCGAAGTTATTCGCACCTCGCGCTTCGCGCAGCGCGAAGCGCGAAGCTGGGAGCCCTTGAAGTTGGGCCAACTGCTGCTTTCCAAGTCGGGCCCCCTAGGAGGATAAGCTGAGGGTTCGACTTCTGGTTGGGCGGCTGTGCCCTGCTAGCTCCAAAGGTTGCTGCTGAGCTATGGCTAGGCGTGTATTGTCCATGCCGGTCACTTCGTGTCCAAGAGTTGTCGCAGCATCAATCCCCGCGTCGTAAACCTTCCTCGTGTCTCCTCCGGTTCTTCTCAAGACTCCAAGTGTGCGCTTCAGTTTCATGATTTTGTCCAGCCCGGCGATGTCGAGTCGCCCCCGCCTCCATTTGCACTGCGGTTTGCCTGCAGTCCTCTCACCACCGAGGTTAGTTAGGAGTGGGGGGGTCCAGATTTGCGCCACCACGATCTTTGAGCTTTCTTGTGTTTCTTGTGCAGGGCGGTGGAGGAAGCGAGGAGGTGGGTCTTGGCGGGCAGGACATTGCTGTCAAGGTCGTTCTCGATACACATGAGCAGGCTGCTGGTTTCCTCGTTTAAAGGGTTGGCCACTGTCCTCAGTTTGGGGCTGTGAGACTTGATGATGATGGCATCTATGATCATGTAGAGGTCTAAGTTCGGCATGGCCAAGGGTCCATGAGTCTAGCGGTCCTAAGGTGCATATTTAAATGAGATGCGTAGCGAAACCACAGCTTGCGGCTTTCCGAAATGAGTCATCCCCATATATGTCACCATGCTCAGGAGAGCTATACCTCTAGGGCTTGCGTAGATGCTGAGGATGGTTGGAACCCGCTTGTTAGAGCTCCACTTACTAGCCTACTGTTGATACGGTCGAAGTAGTTGCTGAGGCCATAGAATATTATACATGGATCATGTAGACAGTTATTATTGTAAATCTCGCACTCCAGGGTCTGCTGAAAGCAATCTCCTTCGATGGAGTACCCCGCCTGCTGGGCAAGGAAGGGGCGGCGGTGGTGGCGCTCCCATTCGCGAGCTGCTGACTGTCGTATCCGAGCCCACGCCCGATAAATGTCTGACAGCATTCCTACTGGATCGCGCGGGATGTGGTTTCGTGGCTATTTTGTCTTGCTGCTTATGCCTCGTGCGAACGGATATGATGTTTTGGATCTGGGGCGGCATCACACCCAGGGCCTCGATGATGAGGAGCAGCAGCCCTGCGATCAAGTCAGCTTGGTCTTCTGTGGCCAGCGTGGAATGCCGCGGTTTGCACTCTATCACGCGTAGACGCAGTTCTCATAGGGAAGCTCTTTGGGGCCGCCTGGAGGGTCTTGCCGTTGAGGCTGCTCGAAGCGATCCTGCCATCGATGTTCTGGGGCGCTGGGGACTCTTAGGGTCCGTTGATAACCACCCCAGTTCTAGTCAGCCCACCAGCTTCTGCTTTCAATCCTTCTGATGCCGTCCTGACCGTTTGCCTTTGAGGTAGGTGGGAACTACTTTCCATGATTCCAAACATCGAGACCACTTGCGGGTCCGACCGGCTCCGCCCTGAAGAGTTCCCTGTACCCAAGAAGGGCACGCTTTCGCTCTCTCGAGTCGTACTTACTGCTGCTCGGTATCGGTCGCTTTCTTGATGTCGAGCATTCCACTGCTGGCATCGTCGGCTGTGCCTCCCGACAGCACTTCAGCGGCGCTGTCGGCAACCAGGAGCTCTCCGAGCTGCCGCGTCACCTGCAGGGCGTCCTGAAGGGAGGAGATGCTGCCGAACTCGCCTGGGTGGTCTGCAGACCAGCCACGAGTGAAGGACTACTTGGTCGTGCTCCAGTTTGCGCACATGTCCACCAGCCTATTGCGTAACCATTTCAAGGGAGCCTCCAGGGACTTCCAACAAGCTCTGAGCTTCTGGTCTTTGCTTTCGGCCCTGACCCGTTTGATCCCATGAGGGCGCGCTTTTGGGGCGTTGCTGTGGCGGAGGGGGGCAGCCGTGGTGAGGCTGAGGCTCCTCTCGAGGCCCTTGATCATGTAGAAGTAGGTCGAGCCCAAGGTTCTCTGCTTTCGCTGCTGGCTGAGAGGCTGGGTGGCATCGGCGAGCCGGGATTCAGCGTAACGAATTGTTTCCGATGATAATGATGATGATGTTGATGCTGATGATGATGATTATGATGATGATGATGATGCTGACGATGATGGTGATGATGGTGGTGGTGATGATGGTGCTGTTGATGATGGTGCTGATGATGATGACGACGACACCGACGACGACGACGATGATGATGATGCTTATGATGCTAGTGATGGTGATGATGGTGATGATGATGGTGAAGATGTTGATGATGAGGATGATGATGATGATGATGATGATGATGATGATGCTGATTGTGCTAATGATGATGATGATGATGATGCTGATGATGATGGTGGTGCTGATGATGGTGATGCTGTTGATGGTGCTTATGATTATGACGATGATGCTTATGATGATGATAGTGATGATGATGATGATGATGATGATGATGATGAACATTGTGATCATGCTGATACTGATGCTGATGCTGTTGATGATGATGGTGATGATGAGGCAGATTCAGATCATGCTGCTGATGATGACGCTGATGCTGATACTGATGCTGATGCTGTTGATGATGATGGTGATGCTGATGATGATGCTGATGATGAGGAGGAGGATGATGGCGATGATGGTGATGCTGATGACGACGATGATGATGAGGATGATGATGATGATGCTGATAATGATGGTGATGATGGTGGTGCTGATGATGATGCTGATGATGCTGCTGATGCTGATGCTGGTGCTGATGCGATGATGATTATGATGATGTTGATACTGATGATGATGATGTTGATGCTGCTCTTGCTGATGATGATGGTGATGGTGATGGCGATGATGATGATGCTGCTGATGATGATGATGATGCTGATGATGATGATGATGGTGGTGGTGATGATGATGCTGCTGCTGATGATGATGATAATGATGGTGATGATGATGATGATGATGATGATGATGATGATGATGATGATGATGATGATGATGATGATGATGATGATGATGATGATGATGATGATGATGATGATGATGATGATGATGATGATGATGTGGATGTGGATGTGGATGTGGATGTGGATGTGGATGTGGATGTGGATGTGGATGTGGATGCGGATCCGGATGCGGATGCGGATGCGGATGCGAACGTTCTTGTTGCGTTTGCTGTTGCTGTTGCTGCTGCTGCTGAGGACAAGGAGAAAAAGAAGAAGGAGGAGGAGGAGGAGGAGGAGAACCTCGCGGTTGGAACGCGCGCTCCCTCTTCGGGGTGGTGGAGTACTCCAGCCCCCGATCACAGAGCGCGGTCGGCCCGACACGCGGCCCGCCGCCGGAGAAGGAGAGGAGCAGGAGGAGGAGGAGGAAGAGGAGGAGGAGCAGGATGAGGAGGAGGACGAGGAGGAGACGGAGGAGGAGGAGGAGGAGGAGCAGCAGGAGGAGGAGGAGAGGAGGAGATCGAGGATGAGGGCAGGAAGAGGAGGAAATTGTAGGAGGAGCAGGAGGAGTAGCAGGAGGAGGAGCACTAGGATCATCGGAGATCAGCAGGAATGGAGGAGGAGAAGGGAGGAGGAAGGAGGGAGGGAGGGAGGGAGGGAGGTCGGGGCGGCGGGCGGCGGGCGGCGGGGGCGGGGCGGAGGGATGGAGGGAGGGAGGGAGGGGAGTGAGGGAGAGAGGGGCGAGAGTGAGGAGGAGGAGGGAGGGAGGGAGGAGGAGGAGGAGGAGGGAGGAGGAGGAGGGGAGGAGGGAGGAGGGAGGGAGGAGGGAGGAGGGAGAAGGAGGAAGGAGGAGGAGGTAGGAGGAGTGGGAGGAGGAGGAGGAGGAAGGAGGATGATGGGGAGGGGGGAGGGGGGAGGGGGAGGGAGGAGGGGGAGGGAGGAAGGAGGAGGAGGAGGAGGAGGGATGGAAAGGTAGGTAGGTTGGAGAGGAGGAGGAGGAGGATGGGGAGGAGAAGGAAGAGCAGGGGGAGAAAGAGAGAGAGAGAGAGAGATAGAAGGAGAGAGAGAGAGAGAGAGCAAGAGCAAGAGCAAGAGCAAGAGCAAGAGCAAGAGCAAGAGCAAGAGCAAGAGCAGGGGGGATCAGAAAGCCGCGGGGCGGCCGTCGGCCCAGCCGCGCCCCAGGCAGATCTACGCCGACGCCGGCAGGACCCAGGAGGCCGAGGCTGCCCCCGCCGCCGCCCTCGGCACTCGACGCCGTCTTTGCCGCCTTTGCCGCCTTCGTCGCCGCCCGCACCGTCGTCGTCGTCGTCGCTTCCGCCGTCGGCCGCCGCCGCCGCCGCCCTTCGTCGCCGTCGTCCTCGCTGCCGCCGTCGCCGGCGGGGGCTCGCCCCTTGGAGTATTTTTTGGCCCTTTTGGAGTCTTCTTTGCCTATCTTTAATTATTCGTCCAAAATCCCCCTGTAGGGGGACACGCCCGACTTAAGGCTAAAACCTGAGCGCGCGCGCGCGTGGCCCCGGTCGACAGTAGGGCGAGGAACAACTGAATCCTCGAAGCGCCCAGCCGTAGGGGGAACGGAGATGTGCCGATGCCGCTGCTCCACGGCCGCTGCGCCACGGCCCTCTCCTCGGGCGCGCCCCGACCAGGGTTTCGAGGCGAACCCAGCCGTGGCGACAAGGGAAGGGTAGCGGTATCGGCACCTTCTCTTCCTCTGACAGTCTCCTCGGCCCCCAGCATCCGCCGATGTAATTATTCTTGCCATCTGCGGCCCCAGATGTCCCCCTCGCTTCCCACTTCCCCGGGGCTGGGGCCGTGTTTGATGGCCCTGGGGCTCGACCATGGGCGTCAGAGGCCGAGATCGAAGAGAAGGGACGCCGCGTGAAAGAAGTATCGCCAGAGATAGGGTCCCTCCTCCTCACTGCCCTCCCACCCCTCGCTTCTGCGGCCCGGCGAGGCCTTCCAGTTCCTCGTCAGGGGCGATGGCGAGGAGAAGGCCACGTCGTTCGAGGTGGCGCAGGGCGCACACCAGGCGCTGCGCCGCCGGCGCCGCCGCCATCGGCGATGACGACGACGACGACGACGACGACGAGGGGGGCGAGTCCGGCTCCCGAGAGGGCACAGCTCCTTTTTGATTAAGGCCGAACTCGGCCCCCAGAAGCGCACGCGGCATCTTTGAGGTCGGCTTGGGTTTCCGGAAGCACGCAGCTTCAGCGAGGTCGAGTTCCGCACCCGAAAGCGAGCAGTTTTTGTTTGCGGCCGAATTTGACCCCCAGAAGCGCACGCGGTTTCTGTCAGGTCGGCTGCGGATTCCGCAAGCACGCAGCTTCTGCGGGGTTGCAGTCGGCTTCAATAGCGCGCAGTTCCTGTTTGAGGCTCGGCTCGGCTTCCACAAGCGCTCGATGTGCACACCGGCTCTGAGAGGTCTTTGGCGGCATGCGCACCCTGCCGCTGCAGAGCCATGCGCCCATGATTGCCGAAAGAGAAGGCAGATAGTAACAAAAGAACGCACGCGAGGCCGGTTTCGGCTTTTGAAAACACACGGCGTTTCTTCA